GTCCCCTCGGGCCGCTTTCACACGCATAAACCAAGTTGCGCCGGGGCCAAGATCTCTGCCCAGATCCATCGCCTCTTATCAGGCCTCATAAATATGTTCTCTCGGTCGTGCCTTTGGGCGCCCGACGCTTGACAATTTCTTTCAAATACAATTTTTCTTCTGCAACAGAAATGAGAGCGGAAATTAATGGTCGGGGAGAAGGCAGCGGCGTGGGGAATTATTGGTATGCAAAAAGCATGGAAAGTGGATTGCAGATTGAAGAGAATCTTGACTAGATTGGAGCTCGCTCGATCAAGTGGAGCTTTATCATTTTTTTCGCTATGAAGATTAATGGAATAGATTGAATATAGATGGATTGAATTCCATAAAAGTTCTATGAAATTCTGAGATGTTTGCTATTTCTCTCTCTCTCTCTCTGTTCATTTTGGACTTCGGAGATTGGGCAACTTGTTTGTGGTTTAAAAATGGGAAAGAATAGATTGAAACTCAATCAAAACTTCATTTAGATTATCCCATAACTCTCTCCCTCTGGCTATCTTTAAGGCATGTTCGTTCTACAGGTATTTATCATGGAGTTCCCATAAAATTATTCAGTTTCGCCTTCTTGGCAAGCTTGTCCACACGGAGAACATGCAAATTTCACAGTAGTTGCAGTTGCAGTTGTTGTGGTTGATTTTGCTGTTGCTGTTGCCACATCTTGGCCTAATACAATTAGTCTTGTGTAATACGCATGCCTTATGCTTGGGTTGCTTCGAGCCGGTGCCAGAGCCGATGCCGATGCCGGTGCCGGTGCCGCTGCTGGAGGAGTGCCGTGCCAAACCCGTTAGTGGTCGAGAGTACATATACAGTTAGCCACTGCTTGCTGGCCCCCTCTCACGCTCTTTCACCGCTACGGTCCCCGGTCCCCTCCCCTTACGCAATTCGCGCCACACGCCGCACATGTGTTTTGGAGTCGCCACCGATTGAAATTGCCTTGGGACGAACGCGCGAATTGATTGTACAGTGGCCAAAGGAAAAGTTGAAAGCCGAAAGCCTTTTAGGCCGCCTCTACTCTCTCCCGCGCTCCCTCTATCTCTCCTTAGCTCCGATTTCGACTACCAACTTGTTGCCAAAATGGTCAGCGCATAACGGTAAAAGCCATTCGATGCAGTGTTGCCCCAAAGCTGCCAAGTCCCTCCCCTGTCTGTCTGCTCCCACAGCTACCAGCGTCTGGGTCCAAACCTGAACTAATTAAAGCGACAAAATCGAAGACAAAGCCAACAAAGACTTGGCCATATCCATATCGATATCCAAGCCAAAGCTAAAGCCAATGCCCAAGCCACAGCCACAGCCACAGCAAGTGAAGTTGTCTTTGTCTGATCGAGAGGGCAATCGGATTATTATTATTATTCAATAAAAGATGTGCCGGCGCACAAGAGATGGCCAGGGCACACTTGATGACAAATGCCTGGGCGGCCAACAAAGGGCAGCCCAAACTAAGAGTACCTGGGCAGGGCCACTGCCTCCGGGCTGGTCCGTTGCAGGTCCAGACCTTGCCCTTTAAGCAAGCCGCCGCCTGCCTGCCTGCCTCTCTATTCGATTTGCTCGTTTTGCTATCGCGGGCTTTTAATCTGCCCATTGCCGCGCGCGGAGCCAGGCAGAGGCAGAGAGGACTAGCTCCTCCTCTCTTCCACGCTACAATGTATCGCGTAGGGCAAGGCAAGGGCAGCAAGCAGGCATTGTTGCAGCCACAATCGACCTTAACCCTTGCTAACCTTACGGAAATGGCAACAAAAAAAAGTGATTCTTTCGTATTCATTGACATTTCCTGATTTCCATGATGTAAGAGATACAAAAGAAGTTCCCTAATCTTCTGTCTGGTTTAACTAATGGGTTAAGAGTTCAGCGGAAGAGGATAAAAGGCAAAAGAGGAAACAGAATTCAGCAGCAGAAAGCACAAACTTAACCCAGGAGTCAAGGAGGATCCATTCATTCCTGTGTTGATTTGTAGACCCAGCAGTTCAGTGAAAGGTGTTTAAACTTGAAAGGATATGCACTTGCATATCCATTGAAATTCCTGTAAAAACATTCCCACACATCGATCAAAGACTCGTACGTACGGATGAGGACCAAACGTGTTCGCCCATCGCATCATTTCTCTGGGTCAGGCACTCGAACATTGAGTGCCATTAATGGGTTAAGAGTTCAGCGGGAGTGGATTGGCAGGGGCAGGGACAGGGCAGGGTATGCGTCAGGAGCATCCACATGTAGCCGACACGAGTCTGCACCGAAGAGGCAGCGGCTCGATTTTATTAGCTTAGCAAAAGGCTTTGATTGTTCTTGTTCCTCTCGTTGCTTGTTGCCTGTTGCCTGCTGCCGTTGCTGTTGTGGCAGCTATGGGGCTGTTATGGCCTGTTGCGCTTGTCTAGACGGGCAATTTTTCACACACACACACACAGACAGCCAAACACACAAACACACACAGGTATAGCCATTGGGGAGCTGGACTTGCTCTAAAATTGGCATTTTTCGCACACATAAGGCAAAAATGTAAAGCGAAGTCAAGTCTCTCTTGGCCAGAGCCAAAGCCAAAGCCACAGCCACAGCCACAGCTAGAGCAGGAGCCTCAGCCACAGCCGATGCTGAAGCGGTTTATTTGCCTTGTGTGGCATCAGCTTCATCATCATCATCATGGTCATCGTCTTGGTCTTGGTCTTGGTTCTTCCTCCCAACGCTCTGACTCTGACTCTGACTCTGAGCCTAAGCCCGCTGGCATAATGTGGCGGAGCTTGGACATGGACATGGACATAGATGTGGTGTCTTGAAGTCTTGGTCTTGGTCTCGGTCTGGTTCTGGTTCTGGGTCTCGAGACTTTGCCAATTTCTTTATTACGAGCATTTCGTTTGTTGTGTTGTCCTTCTTGGCCGCTGGGGCAGAGACTCTCCCCTGTGGCTAGCTCTCTGTTGCCTGTCACAGATCCGCTGATCATTATTGTTCCATCCACGTTGTCGCGAACCACCCTCGACTGCGCCTCCTTCGATCCCATCCTATCCCATCCCATCCCATCCCATTCCATTCCATTCCATCACAATGCAATGTCAATGTTTTGTCTTAATGCGACAATGCTCGATCTCTGCCTCTTGTGTTTCTCTCTCTCTTCTCATGTTATTTAAATGGAGAGAGGGCGGCAGTGGAAGCGACAACGGCGGATGGGAAGATTTACAGCCTCTGCGATAGACGACAATTTATTATATCTATATGGCCAGTTCTTCAGTCATACATTCGTTCTGGCCATAAATTAAATGATCTTGATGTGGCAGCGGTCTGCAGGTGGAGAACGAGGAGGCTCCGCAAGGTCGCGTGTTGGCGCTTCTCAGCCGGCAATTAAACGAGTTAATCACAGTTTAATGATTTGTCAGTTTTGTTGCATAAGGGGGCGGCGGACGTCTGCCTGGCGGGGAAGGTCATCATCCCATCATTGTGTGCACTGGACTGTGGAGGCTGCCGTTGCCGATCGCGGCAGAGATGACATCATCATCAAATGTCGCTTCTCCTCGATTCGAGTATCCGATCCCCATCTCCAGTCAAATGGCAGAGATTCAGTGTAGAAATACGAGAGAACTTTACAGACTTTCATACAAAAATCGAAGAGTTTTCAGTGCACAAGCCAAAGACTTTTACTTTTCCTAATGCAAGAGACCCCCAGACAAACAAAAGTTTCGCTTTAGTTAGTCAGACACGCCCCCGTTGCCTCCTACACTCCCACTCCCCTCCTCATCCGCGCCGATTCAACAGTTGGCAAAGATATAATTTGGCTTTCAGCTTCGTCTGCTGCTGCTGTAGCTGCTGCTGCTGCTGCCTCCTTCTGGTGCCGCTCTTGTCTCGCTTCGGAGGAGAGCGAACGGAGTTCTCCCGTAAATTATAGCCTCGTCTTCAGCTTTTTCTATATATATTTGTTACTGTATGTGTGTATGTACTGCCAGATATGGAGATGCACACACATATATAATATATTGTATCTGTTTTATGTATTTTTAGGCTGCATCTTAATTCCCCGAGACCAGTTCGCCTACACGTCGGCGGCGTCCGAGTCGAGTCGAGTCGAGTCGAGTCGTCGAGTGTCGCCTGATTCGGCTTTATTTCGCTTTTATTTCTTTATTTTTCTCGCGTAACTTTTTTTTGCACTTGCCAGAGGGAGAGGAGGCGACTGAAGGGAGGAGAGAGGGCGGTTAATTCTCCTTTCCTTTTTGATTGCCTTTTAATAAGGCCCAGCCGATACTCGATCGTTTCTACCTTGTGGGGGTTTTATACATATACTTTTAGCTTTATTTTCATTTATCGCCTTTTTTTCATAATTCTCTTTTCGATATTATCTCGTTGCCTTGAATGTTGAACGTGTCATGTTCCAGGCCCCCACCCAAAACCCCTCCACCTCCTTCACCAGGTGTGTTTGTGTAGGTGTCTTGCTGTTTCTTTTGTTTTTTTGCCGCGCCGCGGCGCGCTGCGCTCGTTGCTTCGTTTGTTTAGCTGTAAGACAGCAGGGCCACGGCTACCAGTTCCAGTGCCAGGTTCTCAGCTAATGACTAATGTGCCAGGGCATACATATGCGGAGAATATGCCGTGCATGGCCATCCATCCCAATCCCAGACCCAGTCCCTCTGGCTGTCGGTGAGTGAATCATGACAGGGCCACACACACTTGAGCACCAAGTTCGTTGCCTCAGTCTTTCGTCAAAGAAAAAAATTAAAAAGCTTTGGCTGGGACGCAGCAATGACCGTCGCCCGCCCGCATCACTCGCCCACTTAACGATCGTTAAATTTGGCCATCAGCTGAAATGGCCACAAATTTGTACTCTACACGACTGAAAACGAGGTCACCTTAGCGCGGATTTGGTGTGGCCATAACACACAAATATTTTCCGTCATGACATCATGATGCGATGCTGCTGGCAGAGAGCGTTGGGGGCGGAGCTTGCAAAGCTTTCAGCTTGCACTTGGAGCTTAATATACGGCGTTGCTTACCTTTACCCTGGGCTAATCCGCAGCAGAGGGCCGTCAGCCACAGAGTACGCCACATTTGCATTGAGCGATGAGGCATTTCCCAAAAATTTCGAATCTAGTTAGTCGGAAAACGGAAAGACAAACGGCATATTATTTATTATGAGCATTTTAAACAAACGGCACTTGCTCCACAGCTAACGGCGGTGGCGTCGGGCCACTGAATTTCATTTGAATTCTTCATTGGCCTTATTGTCGTTTTCACAAGCACAAAACACACTCGCACACACACACACACAAACAAACTTGGCGGCGCACAGACGGCAAAATATTATGAAACAAAGCCAGAAGAGAATGCCCAAGAGGCAGCAAAGTGGCGGCCGAATGGAGTCCGTCCAATACTCAACAAATCAAAAACCAAATGACAACGGCAAATAAAAAACGAAACGCGAACACACACAACAGACAACACGACTGGACGGGTGCCTTACATGCTGAGTGGAAGACCACGAGACGGAGAACGAACACGTCTAAGCTGTTTGCTGGTCGCCAGGTAACAAACTCAGGTGAAGCCGCTTCAGCCACGAGCGAGCCACAAGCGATCGCGAGCACCAGAGAGAGCCCACAAAGAGGGGAAAAAAAGAGTCACGAAAGAGAGAAATTCGCTGTAGGATTCCCCTACAGTGCACTGCATTGTTAAAGTTAGCCAGTTAAACCAGTCCAAAAGCTGAGAGTCGTAGCAGAACGGGCCGACACTCTACTGTCCTGTACTCAGGATCGCTCGACTATAACGTGATTTGGTCACGATACCAGTCACTCCACTGGGACTTCTGCGCATCTCAGCCAGCAGAGAAGCTTTTTCATGCAAAAGTTTTCAAAAGAGAGTAACAGTAGCTTACCTTGCTGTTGGAGAATTGGATTGTAGCTCTGCTCTCGATTCGTTCTCCCTATTGCTCTCTCCCGATGTCAGGCAGAATTGAGAGATAACAATCAGCCGGCTCGTTTGTCTCATGACGGAGATGAGAAATTGTGGGAGCATTTTTGCTACAAGCAATTATGCAATCTTGTCGTTGTGGTTGCCGTTTCTGCTGCTGCCACTGTTGCAGCGGCCTATTGTTGGCCAAACAAACATTTATGTAATTGTGTTTGCTATCAGCACGAATGGCAGATTCTCACCGATGTCAGCAAGTGCCCTGCGGAGTGGGCTGTGATATACATATGTAAGTATCAGTTCAAAATCAGTTTAATGTAACACATGGATAAACGCTGAAACTTACGGTACTTGCTATTCATCTGTGCGCCTCCCCTTGAAATGCACCGTTCCTTCGGTGGTCATCTGGCGCACAGTTAGGACCAACACCTTTAAGGCCGTCGACGCGTTGTACGGAGCCCAATTTCACACTTGTTGGCTTCGCGCGTGCTGGTGCATTATTCAAGAGGTTCTTGTTAGTTTTCCAAACCAATGACCATCCCATCATTAGACAAGAGACTGGCCACAGGCTCTCCGCAGCGATGGAGCTGGAAGCGGGCAGATAATGCATGGCGGCAACGGTAAATCACGTGCAAACAAATGCATCCAGCGGAGCTAACTAATTAAATTTGCTTATTTCATTTGGAGTGCCTGCTATTACTTTGTTGCAGCATTTAGAGAGGAATATTTAGCTAAAATGATATGATGGGAATGCATGTTAATTAAATTATTTAATGGCAGTGTTTAACCCAATTAATAGCACTTACCAAAAAATAGGATGAAAGACCTGATTCACTTTATGTCTCCGGACATCTCAATGCGCACATCTGGCAACTCCGCAAAACATTCAAAGACAATAAATAGAAAAGAGGAATAAAAAAAACACAAACATACACAGCCCCATGCATACTCGTTTATAACTGTTAAGAACGGCGACCCAGCAATAATTACCATCTGGCAACCCCAGTCCGCACACAAGCAAGCACAAAAGCACAAAGAGGAATAAAAGGAACAAAATAAATGTGTATCCGTAACTGTTCCATCTCCATCTCGCTCCCACCCTTTGACTTCTTGCCCTGCTGAACAGCAGTTCAGCATAACGGAATTTCAAGCGAAAAGGAATTCCAAAGAGAAATAATGTAATAGGAAACTGTCGCCCAGCACTTTGGAGCTATTTTTAGACGACACAATACAATTTAGAGACAAGAAACAGTGCAATATCAATTTTAAAATATAAACATTGTCACTTATTCTTCTCAATAAATACTTTTGTAATTATTCACAGCACTTTCATTTGTGATTTCACCAAACTTATTCAAAACTACGTTGGAGTTTTTTTTAGAGACGAGAAATTCAAAATTTAAGGGTTCGAAAATGTGCAATATTAACTAAAAACCAAAATATTGGCACAAATTCGGGCCCATAAATTTGTTGACATTATTCAAAAAACTTGTTCACTTAAAATATTGCAGTTTCATTTGATTTTGCGAAGTTTTCGGGAGTTTGCAGATGTTTATATTTGCTGAAAGCCTTTAAAATATTCTCACGACTGAGATTGACAATATTTTATTGATAAAAATTAAAACGCATTGTACAATCTCTGCCCTCAAAATAAAAAAGGAATCATTTTAATAGTTGATAGTTAATTTGTTGTCTTCATTTACAGATTTTTCAGCCATATGTTAATAGATTCACTTTTGAGATATTTCCGTGTAGAAGAAGTGACATTCAAATTTATGAGCACGAATTAGTGCAATTTTATATAAAAACCAAAATTTGTCACTTATTCTGTGCCTATAATTTTGTTGCCGTTCAATTATTCACTTATAAATCTGCACATTTGAAGACATTTGCCGTCAGCATTTTCAGGCCGGAGCTTACTAATATGTTTATAAAAAACTTACACATGTATGGTGCGTACATATTTAGCATGCTCCGTCCAGAAATACAAAGACCGAAGTTTTAATTGTTCACCAACAAACTTGAACTTCACATAAAGAAAACATTCCCCAAATCACAGTCAGACATACATATGGGGGTGGGGCACTTTGTCGATATACATATGTATGTAAATGTGAATGTATGTGCACTTTTATAATATAAATAAATATGAAAATAAATGTGTGTTATCAGAATTCCATTTGAGCTTTTTGCTATTATTCTGTTGACCGGGGCTAGTGCAATACGTTATGAATTCGCATTTGAAAAAACTCCGGCCTACAAATTAAAGCATTTCGATGTTCACAGATCAGTGTCTTTCAGCCATATTCCCGTTGTGTATAGCCGATGAACCCAGCAGCAGGCACTTTCGGGCTGATGTTTGCCCACGATGATCCAAGCTCAATACACAACTAATATTTCACTTTTGACGCACTCGCGAACTAACGAAAAGAGAATGCAGATCGGACAACGATCTCAAAGAAATAGAAGCAAACACGCAAAGAAAAACAGCAACACATATGAAATCTCGCTCATCTTCATGACATTCGCCCTAACTTTTGTTTGTCTCGGCCTCGGCAGGAACAAAAGGGAATGGCAAAAAATATGCTGGACCGCGAACGAGGCGAAAACGAGACAACCATAGGCACCACGAAGGCGCCGAAACGGATCTAAGACGGAATAAGAGAAACCGTAACGGTTGTACATGTGTGTACGCACGTTTGTATGTAACGCTCGCGACTGCCGATGCATATTTTGATTAAATATTACGACCAAACTATACACTATTAACATCAATACTAAAATAGTGTTTAATCTGATCTCAACATTTTACCAAAAACCATATACATTTTGAAATTTTCACAGCAGGGGAACACTATTAACAAAAGGCGGCATTGAAAGTTTGCAAATTGATCAGCCGAATTGCACATTTATTTTTTGACTTAAGAAATGTTTAATCCGACTGACAAATCTGAAAACAATTGTAATATTTCTATTAAAACAATGAGATATTTCCGTGTAGAAGTGACATTCTAATCTATAAACACGAATTAGAGCAAATTTATATAAAAACCAAAATTTGTCAATTATTCTGTGCCTATAAATTTGTTGCCGTTCAATTATTCACTTATAAATCTGCACATCTGTGCATGCATACATAGGCGAAGCATTGGTATTGGTGTTTCTTTCTGAAGCGAACCCAAACCGAAACGAATAGAAAAGCGGAATTGTTCGAAAATGGCGAAATAAAGTTTCGCATACATATGTGTACATGTGTACGTACTTACACATACGTATGTGTATGCCCAAATGTAGATACATATGTAAATGTGTAACTGGCGCCAAATTTGTTTAAATGCAGCATTCCATTTGATTTGTTTCTTACTGTAACTTTTATGAATTTAGCATTTCCCCGATAATTCTACTGGAAGGCAAACAGTCGCGTCGCACACGGATTGGATCTTTGTATGTATTGAAAGAACAAAATGGCGGAAGGGTCTATTCTAAATATGAAAACCAAATTAAGCTTTATTTGTTAAAGTACTGAAACAAAGCCCGATTTGGCTTTAATATTTGCGCAAACCACGTAATAAGAGCATAGCACCAACATATCCCACAAACAACCAGCTAGATATTTAGTTAGCAAAATTATCAAGCAGAATCGAGCGTTTCTTTAATAAAATAAAACGTTTGGTGTTGCTTGGAAATCTAACAGACTAAGGCACATGCATTCTATATACACCGGTGCAATTTTTGTGAAGAAATTGGCGCGGAAAGCGACTTGTGATTTCAGTTTTCGGCACACCCGAATAGGCAAATGCACAATCTTCGAAAAATAATTAAGTAGACGCTCGACTGATCATACATGAACAAGATAAGTCGCACATCACCTAAAACATTTTTGGAATTATAGCCTACAAAAAAAGTTTCACAAACGCGCACAAACATTTTTTAAATTTTCCGCACAATCGAATAGGCAAATGCACAATTTTCAAAAAATAATTAAGAATGTGCAAGAATGACCATACATGACAAGATAAGTCCAACACGTTCTCAAATATTTTTGGAATTATAGACCCTAAAACAAAACAAAAAAATTCCACATACACGCGGCTTATATCTTAACTTAGTTTTTTTTTTTCCTCACTCGTTTTCACTCGGCGACTGGCAATTGAAAAGAACAAAGCCTGCCACGTCCCCGAATTTATAGGGTTTTGCTGCTGCGCGGCGACTTCGAAAAACAGCTCGAAAAAATAGGCAGCACTTTTCGCACAAGTGTTTGGCGGCCCAAGCGCCACACACTAACAAGCTTGTGTAGCCTTCTGTATATGTGCAATTCTGTGCGAAGCTGGATTTGTCCCGAAGGTTTGGTATATAGAAATATATATATACATGTACATATGTACATCATGAGCACATAATCACAAAAGTGGGGCCACCAAACACACAAACACACATATTTGAACTTCTATAAAAGATGACAAAAAATAGGCAGCACTTTTCGCACAAGTGTTTGGCATGTGTACATACATATGCAAATAAGTATAAATGAAAGCGGCGCAAGCGCCACACACTAACAAACTTGTGTAGCCTTCTATATGTGTGCAATTCTGTGCGAAGCTGGATTTGTCCCGAAGGTTTGGTAAATAGAAATATATGCATATGCACATATGTACATCAGGGACAGCTCTGAGCAACGATCGGCTCTGAAAAAGTGTTTTCTCGATCTATTTTAATCACAAATGTGGGGCCACCACACACACTCACACATGTTTGAATTTCAACCGAAGATGACAAGAAATAGGCAGCACTTTCATATATGTATGTATGTACATGCACACATGTAGGCACATAGTTCGAATTTATGCATTTGTGTGTAAGCAAGCGCGAAGCTCGATTGGCCATGTTTGTGGTGCGACCACAGCCGAAAATATGTATTTGATGTTGTACTTATGTACATATTCTTACAGTGGAAACCACAATCAAAACGTTAGGTAGCACCTCTAGGAAAGAGTTTAATGGCGGTGAAATCAAGCTGAATTCATAACAGTTTAAAAGTCGCATCATTGATTGAGTTTTCTAGGCGGAAATGCTGCAGCTCCATTAACTTTTACACGCTGCACGGAAACCCACACCATATCGACACCAACAGAGTCACACCTCTTGGTCGCTTCAAAATCACAATGCACATCAAACATAATATGTATACCATAATATATTTATGTAATAATGTAAATTTTTAATGTGGAACAATATTTGTGGTTTGGATTATAGAGGATCAAGGTCTGGTGGCAAAAAGCAGTCATTGATCGACTGCTCGAGCTGCAACAAGGTTGGCTCCATTTCCGTGTTATGGACTATCTGCTTCTCCAAAGCGGCGGTCGTTTTAGCGCGTTCGTTCTGCATGCTCTGCAAGTGCTCTCGGTTAACTTGGACTCTGGCCTTAGCAACCTGCAATGAAACAATTACGAATTAATATTCGCGTTTAGTGGCGATTGGGCGGAAGACAAACCTCCAGTAACCTATCCTGTGCAGCCAGCTCCCTCTCCAAGACGCGGATACTGGAATCCAGCAGGCGCATGCGCACCGGACGCGTGTACTCCTCCGGCGACATACGGTTGACGTTCCTGACAAGAAAACACAAAGCAAGTCAGGGCGTGCAGGGCGACAAGTGTAGGCAAATTACTTACCAGTTGTGGCCCTCGTAGGGGGCAAACTTTTCCTTAAGCATTTCCAGTTCAACTAGCTTCGCATCCACATCGCCGCTGTCGAAGAAGTGCTGGTTCAATTTGCTTAATATAATAGTCATTTTGCTGCGCATGGCACCCGCCAGTTCATCGGTGTCCAAGTAAGTGTCCCCGTGCTCTGCTTGAATGGCCGCAAAGGGAGCCAGATCGTCCGGACTGCATGGGAAAACATATTAGATAAATAGAACAAATGTTTTCAGATGCATGTGTGAGCCGCCTGCCTCAGATCCGCAAAAACTTGAGCAATGGCTTCCTCGTAGGCCTTTTTCACCTCGGGAACTAATTGGCTGTGACGCTTGAAGGCAGCCTCTATGCCCTCGGTAAATGGTTCGGTACCTTTTGCAGACATTCTGAAACTTTTTAACGAAAACGCAAAATTCCGATTTAATTAAAGAAATGCAAATCAAATTCTTTGCCTTTTTAGGTGCGACCACTTGTCTGAAATTGAAAAATGACAATTTTAGAAAATACTAAAACGCAATTTGCGTGCCTCTTATCACACAAAAATATCGATATTTGTGTGGAAATTTATTTAAGCTATTTCAGCATTGCTTTATCTATTTGGTTAAATGAAGTGCTGAGCTAGACACCATAACACATATCAAAGCCGGGGAATTGTAGACAAGTGGATATTTCCATTGACGTTCAAATTCTTAAATAGAAAGGGGTATGTGGGTTAACTTAGGTTTTTCCTAAGGTATTTTCCGATATATTTTAAACATGAGATGGTATATTTCCGTATATTTCTGATTAACATGCGGTATATTTTATCGATAAGTCCGCGGTCACACTTTTTCTCGTGTGTTTTTTCTGCCATTTTGCAATTCATCTGTACATTTTCAACTTCGTGTGTTTTTCTGTACAAATTGAAGTATAAATATTTTCAGCAAGTGCTGAAATAACCAAGTCGTGGTTAAACTTATTTCTGTGCATTGCTAACCGGAGCAAACATTTAAATTGTGGTAGCAACGCAAGGCAGCTACGACAAACCATCCCTGCTAGGTAAGTGTATGCCTGGGGACGCTCTGGAAAACGGGAAAAAAACGAATTTGCGGGCCAAATAAACAGGGAAACTGTGTGTGTGCAGTGTTGTGTTTTCCCGGATACATTTTCTGCGAAAAGTTTTGCCAATACATACAGTGCATGCCGATTTTTCTTCACTTTTCGCCGCTAGTGTCTTCGGAGTCCCCTCCCGCACTCAGCTCAGATCGTTCTTTTGGCTTCCCTTTTAGATTTACAACCACCAGAGCATACACAGTCACACTCACATTCTTGTCCTCTCCCTTGCGCTTTGAGGCCGGCTTTCGTTTGGCCCAGGTACAGAGCCGTCGTCGTCGTATACGCCGCTGCTGTTGCTGTTTTTGTCCCATCCGCTTTAGTCTCTTGTTTTGTTTTATTTTTCTCCACGCGCTTTTACCCACAGGGAACGGGGGGAGGTGGGCCCGCTCAACCGCATGTGCCGGCGCATATAATTTCATTATAATTTATTTGTCTTGTCTTTCTTTTTGCGGCACAGATAAAATCAAAACAAAATAGTTTCGTTTGTCTCCCTCTGTCTGTCGTTCCCCTCTGCAGTTATTACTCCAAAACTGCTCCCACGCTTCGCTGGAGACGACAACAAGCCGAGTTCAACGTTCGGCCACTTACATATTAGGAAGAGGCCTAACCTATATTTTATTCATAGTTACGGTTGTTGTTGCCTCAGCATCTATCGTAGAGTCGCACAGTGAGAGGAAGTTATCTGTGTGTGCTCTCACACATGGTGGCGTGTCGTGTGTTAATGAGCGAAACAAACCAATCTTCAATAAGTAAGTGTGCGACCCGGGCACACCTCGCTATTACCCCCAACCCGCCCGTCACTTCACAGTGTGATTTCTCACCCACTGGCACTCTTAACTTTAGTCACAGGCTCCCTCCCTTTCCCACCAATTGTTATTAGACTCGACTTTTGCTTTTTGTTCTTGTTCTTTTGCTTCAACTTCTCCTTTTTTCTTTGTGTAGTTTCCAGTTTTGTGCAAAAAATTCGCTTTTATTTGCCTTGTTTGGGTGAGCTTGCGTCTGTGTGTGTGTATGAGGAGGATGGCATGTAGCTTCGGCATTCTTTAATTCGTATGAAGCAATCGCACAGATATTTCCAGCTACTGGCGCGCGTTCATTGACATTGAACTGAATTCTCTAGTAAATACTGAATTCCATTATGTTTTTTGCAGTTTATTGAGCGAGCTTTTGAGTGTTTGTCATCGTTGAATAAAAAACATGACAAGCGGATACTTACGCTCCATTGCTATGTCTGTTCTTTGCAAAACATGCCAACAAATTTCTCTTCAGAGGGGTGTATCGGCCTATATTTTAGAACACACACACACACACACACATCCCCAAATGCGCTCGCAGTAGTTCTCTCCTTGTTTTTGCTTTTTTCTGGTTTCTTCTTTGTGTGTGCTCTCTTGTACATTCGTAAATAGGAGCTAGAGATGTGATTTTCTCCATCTCGTGCCTGTTCGTGCAATCCTCAGCTTCACGATACATAAATATACATATGTACATCTTTTAATGCAACAGATGTGCCAGTGCACAAACGTGCTCGTGCTCAAATTGCGGCCATCTCTAGTGGAAGAGTGGAGCTTCCATATATCATGTAAAATGTATGATGCTAGCCTTGTTTCCAATGCACTCAGCTTAGCATGGGGAAAATAAAATAAATAACAAATAATATGGAGCTAGGAAGCTACCATTGTACCGCAATTTGTTGTCGGATGTTGGCCGCTTTGATGATTTCCCATATGACCATCGTTCCTGTTCCATTCCAGATAGTTCCCCTTGCCCGCATTCAAATATATGTACATATCTATTTAATAAGTATCTATGTATGGTGACATGGGTAGACGGATACGGGTTCCAAATGCAAGAAATAGGAACATTTTAGTCATTGACGCAACTGCTATTTGACTATCATTCGATTGTAATCGCTCTTCTCTTTTCTTATATTGCCCCCTTCTTCTTGGGGCCTCTTCTGCCTTATTCCTATTCGCAATCGCAAAACATGTTCCACTCAATGATTATTTTTTTGATAGCTTTTGTCTTCTCGAATGACAGATGAAAAAAAATAAACAGCACGAATGTTTTTTTATGCAAATCGTAAAATAATACTTGAAACAAGTTTCCCCCCTACCTCCCCAATCAACTCGAGCGAGTTTTATTGATTTTGAAGCCTTGACTGGTATTTCTATTTCTGCTGCACAATGATTCTTGTATTTCCAATTAATTAGCCAAAGATGAATGTCTCAAGATGCAGTTGATAAAGCTTAAGGCAAACAAAACAGGACGGTGGATGGCGGGAGGAGATGGAGGTGCGGAGGAAGTAAAGTACCTCTCAATCGAAGCCTTTTAATAATTCAACAACTTTAGGGCGGAGAAAAGGAGAGCTTGCAGCCCAAAGACAAGTTTTACTGTAGCTTTTCGTGAAAGTTTGGACAGGATAGGACAGGTTAGAACGGTACAGGAGCGCGGCACACGCCATAAGCACATTAGTTATTAGCGCAGGGACCAGCTCAACCCCAACATCAACCACATACCTCCTCCCATCCTCCCACCACCGCTTTAGAGACACACGCGATGTCGATGGTTGGCGCTGGCTCCCGACTTGGCTCGCTAAGCACGCTGACATGTCCATAAAAGCCTTGAAGTGGACAGCACACACACATACACACACACATACACACACACATGCATGCGTATACAGGGCTGAAAGGGGGCGGCTATCTATTTTTCTAGCGCGGACGATGAGAATTGTCAATTGTATGCATTTCCGCTTTGCCCTTCTTCTGCTTCTCGTCCAGTTTCTGAGTTGGGTGTTATTGTGTTGTTGTTGGACATGGCGTCCATTAGCTGCTTTTCCGCTAAATTATAGAGTTGGAACGCATATACCCACCGCCCAATTACGCTGGCAAAAAAGGAATGTGAAGGGGTGTAGGCGGAGAGGAGGAGACGAACGGGAAAAGGATAGTTGAAGGCTTAGCCTTTGCCATACGAACACATATACATACGAATGAACGGCGGAAAGAGAGAGATGCCACCGTGACACGTGATTCAACGTGGAACCACGGATCTCCCGTAGTCGCACTCGACTTCCCGAACTGTGTTCCCAGTGAAACTGAGGAAGTCTATTTTCAGCTTTGAGATTATATTCCGATTTTATAAAATGATTAAGAAAGAAGGCTGAGCTAGTCTGAATTTTCAAAATTATACTGTAAAGAAAATTTATATATTTTGCTCGGGTATCTTTCGTTTGTTTCCATTATAAAAATGTAAGTACATTGCACTTCCTAAGTCATCTTTCCAGCTGTAGAACAATCGGCATTTATGAACATTGCTCACGCGAATCACGTGCACATCTTTAATGCTTTTAAAAGAGCAGGCCCAGAAGCCAGAGCATAAGAGCGGCGAGGCGTTACATCAGTGTGTGAGTGTGTGTATGGTCGACTCCTTTTGCTCTTTGGTGGGCAGCCACGAACCGCGTTTTCATGTGGTTCGCCACGTCTCGATGGACATGTGATCCCCTTTTTCGCTCTCTCCATTTATTTTGTTGTTCCTGTTTTTTTTTCTTTTGTTTTGTGGTCACCCAGCCCACCTGTATGTTTGTGTGTGTTTGTGTTGGGCCCGGGGGCCCTATGTGGTATGTATTGTATACAAAAAAAGTTTCAAGCGCGTTCGCCTGGGGGACGAACAACTTAAATTATTGTCCTTATTGCATTTGTTGTTGTTTGTTAGATGGGTGGATGGTGGTGGTGAAGGATATGGGGGCAGGTCGAACCGGAGGGTGGTGGGACGCCGGCGTGTGCGCTGTCAAAGGCTATTTGAACAGGATGTGGACAGCAATCAAATGATTTTCACATAATTGCTTACCTGTCATTTATGTCACTTTCAGAAATTCCAAGGCCTCGCTTTAGTCTCCCACTCTCTCTTCCTCTGTTCCTCTCACCTGGCTCCCCTCCCTCCATCATGCTCCTGGGAAGCTGTTTTTACGCTCAATAAGAACGCTTTTCTCACACTGACCGCTAAATGCAATCAGTGCTGGGCATCAAAGGTGCTTACAAAGGGGAAGCAATCTGCTGGCCACTTCCGCTTTCAGACACAAAGTTTCCAGTGTCCCTTGAGCTGGGCCTGTTCCTGTTCCTTGCCTTCTGCCTCGTCCTGCGCCCATTGAAATTGTCCCTATAATTAGATCTCTGAGCTCCTGGGAACGGCTGTTGAAACTCTCAGAGTTTCATTAGGCTGCGTGCGGGTGAGGCTTTCGTTGTGAGGTGGGAAGGAATGGGTTCTGTGTTCTTTGCCTTTGACGTGCTACTGTTTCTCGATTTTAAAGCAATTACTTGAATAATGCATTTACAGTACACAGCGAAGGTGCGGAAAATCGGAAGCAATCTTCAGGCCACCGCCGCTTTCGG